TGCACATGATCGATCCAGAGTGTCCCAGCTTAGGTGGTACGATACACAGTATCATGGTAGCAAAGGGGTGGTGACCACTGAGGTGGCCAGTCTCAGTGCTGTGGGCAGTCAGATGGGGAGAGACCTTCCCATGCAGGGGCAGAGGAGGAAGGGACCCTTGCTGAGGGTACAACCTTGATCCCTAAGGAGGAGGGACTGCCTGGAGAGCCTGCTTGAGAGGGAGGAGTCAGCTGAGGGTGGAAGAAACCGGGGATGGCTGGGGGTGGTGGTGCTCGGGCAGGACCTCAGGTGTCTGGGGAAGATAAATAGGAAGCCACAGTTGGTTCTTCAGCAGAGGCCATTTGGAGAAAGGAAAGGCCTGGGAAAGTTGGTCTGGAAGTGTAGAATAGAGTGGTTGGGAAGGGTGGAAGTCCAGGAGGCCAGGGAGAAACTTGACTATCACCTGGGCACAGGATATAAAAGCCTGGACCAAGGGGAAGGTAGAGGGCTTTCAAAGTGACTTCCCTGTCCCGTGCTAAGCACTCGTTCTCTCGCTTCTTCCTGCACAGCAGTCAGTCTCCTCCTTACAGAGGATCGCTGGTTTGGACTTCATTCCTGGGCTCCAGCCTGTACTGAGTTTATCCAAGATGGACGAGACATTGGCTGTCTACCAGCAGATTCTCACCCGTCTGCCTCCCAGAAACGTGGTCCAAATACTTAATGACCTGGAGAACCTCCGGGACCTTCTCTACCTACTGGCTGTCTCCAAGGGCTGCCCCTTCCCTCATTCCAGTGGCCTGAAGACCTTGGAGAGCCTGGATGGTGTCCTGGAAGCCTCACGCTACTCCATGGAGGTGGTGACCCTGAGCAGGCTGCAGGCATCCCTGCAGGACATGTTGCAGCAGCTGGACCTCGGCCCCAGGTGCTGAGGCCTTGAAGACCACTCTACTCCCAAGAACCATGTTGAGGGAAGAAACCTTGACTTCCAGGTGTCTACAGGAGAAGAGAACCTTGTGTGGATACCCCTTATCCAGGACTCTGTCCGTTTCTCTCACTCTTCTAAGCAATCCTTCCAAAGGCATAAGATCATAAGTTCCATGTTGCTTGACACCAAAGATACATAGACACAATCCCATTCTCACCAGGAGTAGGGGGCCCATCCAGCAAAGAGTGGACTATATCTGGGATTCTTGCCAAGTGCTTCGGCCACCAAGAATTGTCCCCTCCCCATTCCATCTCCTCATTGCATGCTCCAATATGACCTAGGGCGACTTCAGAGAGGGCTGCCTGGAGCCTTTGGATGATCAGAACAAGGTTCCCTCTGAGACTTCTGCAGATCACCATGAAGGCCACATCCACACACAGCTGGAAACTCCCAAGCAACACAAGTTGGAAGCATTGATGTCTTTATTATGCATCTTATTCTGGATGGATTCGAAGCAAAGCATCAACTTATCCAGGCTCTTTGGGTTCACCAGGGCTGGGGTTACTCTGGAGTGCTGTTTCCAATCCCATCAGTGAATCTGGCTGAGGCAAACCCATTCTGAGTGACTTGAGGCTTGGGATCATCTGAGCAAGACCCAGTAGAGGTGGTGCTCCGTTCTTCCATAACTGGTTTTGTTTCTACTGTGACTGACTTTGAGTTACAATGTTTGCGATGGCATTGTCCTGAGAACTCTCCAAGGGCTAGGTTGTATTAAAAAGAAGATTGGCTGGGCTTGGTGGCTCAGCCTGTAATCCCAGCACTTTGGGAGGCTGAGGTGAGTGGATTGCCTGGGCCTGTGGGTTCAGATCAGCCTGGGCAACTTGGCAAGACCTCGACTCTACAGTAAATCAAAAATTAGCCGGGTGTGGTAGTATACGCGTGTAGTTTCAGCTACTTGGAAGGCTGAGGCAGAAGGATCACTGGAGCCCAGCAGGTCCACACTGGGGTGGCCGTGAGCATGCCACTGCATTCCAGCCTGGGCCACAGAGTGAGACTCTGACTCAAAAATAAATAAATAAATAAATAAAGGACCGATTTTGTCAAGTGCAATTTGCAGCTGTGTGTACCCAGGGGTGGGGAATGTTTTGGCAGGAGGGAGAAGGATCTAAAATGTGTTTCCCAAATAACTTTTGTGTGGTGAGTTCTTTGGAAGGGGTGAGGTCATTTTCTCATCTTCTGCAACCCCTTAAGATGTTTTCCATGAAAATAGCAAAGGCTAAATAGCCCTTCTGGGGGATGTGAGGTCTGAGCAGGTGCCATGAATGGAAGTCCTGAAGCTGGAGGCTGTTTGTTGGGGCAGGAGCTCTGGCCTTCTCCGACTGTGGGAGGGTGGTCTTTCCTATCAGAGAGTGAGGGTCGTGCACTCGAGACAGCAGATCTCATAGTGGGGGTCCTTGGTATCCCACTCTGGGTTTGTTACCGGCAGTGTCCCTATTTGGGGTCTGTATGCCAAAGGAGAGTTCTCGTCTGATTGACTCGCCAAAGCAAGGCTATGTTTCTCACCTGTTCTGGGAGGATTTCTATCCCCAGTGGGAAAGTGAAATCCTTTAGCAAGCACACTGAGTGGATGCCAGGACCCCAGGCCAGGCCATCAGGATTGCCCTATCTGCTGGAGGTCGCATTCAGTAGGATGGACGAGGAGACTTTGGCTTTTCCACCATCCTACTTGATATCACCATCACACTGTGGGTGGGGGATCAGCCCGAGAAAACTTGAATCAAATCAATAAACTTGAAGACTGAGCACCGGCTTCGTGCTCAGCCCCGCCTGGTGTTATGGACTCCCCAAATCAACATCCAGATCCAGTCCTGCCCTCCGGAACCTTACGTTCCAAATGGTCAAACCCCACTCACCTGTGTGCCATGACCGAGCACACCGTGCAGTCAGCAGCAGGTGGGAATGGTATGAGCTGAGGGTGGCCATGCCCAGGGGCCTACAGGTCACCTAGCTTGCACTTCATAGCATTTTTACTTTTCAGGGCACGTTAGGCTCTATCACTGTGTAGCTATATTCCCTTTAAAGCAGGATAACTGAGACTTGAAAAATAAGGGCCGGGTGCAGTGGCTCACGCCTGTAATCCCAGCACTTTGGGAGGCGGAAGCAGGATTTCCTGAGCCCAGGGGTTCCAGACCAACCTGGGCAACATGGTGAGACCTCGTCTCTATAGCAAATAAAAAAATTAGCCAGACGTGGTGGCACATACCTGTAGTTCCAGCTACTTGGGAAGCTGAGGCAGAAGAATTGCTTGAGTCCAGGAGGTCGAGGTTGTGGTGAGCTGTGATTGTGCCACTGCACTCCAGCCTGGGTGACAGAGTGAGACTCTGACTCAAATAAATAATAAGAAAAGACCTAAGACCATCACAGCCAACAAGTGGCAGGATCAGGCCCGGAGCCCAGGTCCTCTGCCCCCCACAGTGTCCCTTGAGCCAGGCAATGCTCTCTAGGGATGGAGTGGTGTGGGGGAGATCAGGGTGCTTTCTGGAAAGAAAGAGTTTTGAGGCAGGTTTTGAAGGAGGTGAGGGATGTGACTTGCCCGCAGGGAAGAGACTGTTTTGATGGAAGCTTTGCTGTGTGGAGACAGGGAGGAGAAGGCGTGAGCAGTGAGGAAAAGGCAGAGAAGGGAGAGCGGGGAGGGGAAGAGACATGCTGAAGGTACTGCAAGGGATCTTGATATTAAAAACGGTAAGAGCCACAAGGTAAGAAGCGCCTGCCATGGTCAGGTGGACCGGCTCTGTAAAACATGACTCAGATCATCACAGCCACCCAATTGGGTAGAGATGTCTCAAGCCTTTTGCTCAGAGAACTTGGCACCATGACTCGTTGCCAGAGTGTGACACTTCCCATGTGCACGTGGTTGTCTTTTTTTGTTACTTATAAAATTTTTGTTTTGTTCTTTTAAAAATCTAAATAAATTAACTTTGCCCCCTGGTCTTTGTTTCCTGTCGCCTTTTGTGGAGGGGCTTCGGGAGAGCTGTTTGTGTGTGACAGGGCAAGGCCTGGCTGGCCTCCATCCATCGCTGGGGTCAGCTCCGCCCAGGCTTGGCCACAGCCAGCCGCCAGTTATTCAGGCGAAAGGATTACCCCGAAGCACAGAGCTGGCAGATGAGCACATTGTGCACCAGACTCAGTGAAGTGCTGCAAATTAGCTTTGAGGAACACCAAATTATTTAGCCGCCTCCCCAAAAGCACACACAAAAATAACCCACGCAAACAATCAAACAAAATAAGCATGCTGGCCCGGCCTGGTGGCTCAGCCTGTAATCCCGCGCTTTGGGAGGCCGAGGTGAGTGAATTGCTTGAGCCCGCGGGTTCGAGACCTGCCTTGGCAACTTGGCGAGACCTCATCTCTACAATAAATCAAAAAATTAGCTGGGAGTGGCAGTGCGTACCTGTAGTTCCAGCTACTTGGAAGGCTGAGGCGGAAGGATCGCCGGAGCCCAGCAGGTCGAAGCTGCGGTGGCCGGGAGCAGCCACTGCACTTCAGTCTGGGCGACTGAGTGAGACTCCAACTGAAAAAAAAGCATGCAGCCCAATAACAGACTCAGCCAGGTGCACAGAGTCAAAAGAGGGAGCCTCTCATGTTGCAGGCATGTAGTACAGACAACCATCCCTTGCAGTACACATAAGCACCTGACGGTTTCAACCCAAGTCTGGGGGACCGGGAGGGCTGGCTGGTCAAAGGCAATCACTTCCATGAGTGATTTCAAAGGCCCTCCTGGCTTCAGAAAAGCTGGTTGCTCTGGGGATGAAGCAAGACAATGAACCAGCACAGTGTCTGGGTTTAAGTGAACCTTCCTTTCCTTCCCAAACCAATGGGCAACAGGCTCTAAATGTCAGTAGTTCTGGGCCAGGGAGGGCATGTCAGCTTACCTTAAGTGTAGATAACAGCTGCAGGGGCCAAAATTTCCTGCTGTCGTAGACAGCCTGATCTGCTGCAACAAATTCCCACAGACTGGTGGCTTACACAGCAGACATTGATTTCTCACATTTCTGGAGGCTGAAAGTCCAGGGTCACGGGGCCAGCATGGCTGGGTTCCGGTAAGGACCCTCTCCTGGATTGGGGACTGCCATCTTTTCATTGCATCCTCACATGGCAGAAAGAGAGTGAGAGAGCTTTCTGGGACCCCTTTTATAGAGACCTTTTATAGAGTCCCATTCATGAGGACTCCACCTTCCCCTTCATGAGCTGATCACTTCCCAGAGGCCCCACCTCCTAATATCATCACATTGAGGCTGAGGATCTTAACATAAGAATCTTGGGGCAACACAAACATTCAGTCCACTGCACCTGCATACTAGCTTAGAGGGAAGGGAAGGGGACCCCAAGATCCTGAATGAGGGGAGAACACAGAAGAGGACCATCAGATGTGAATGATGGCTTGGAAAAGTGCCTGGCTTGGGAAGGTGCCTGGCTTGGGAAGGTGCCTGGCTTCTTTAAGTCAGAACTCCTCTGGCTGCAAGTGCCAGAACCCAAGGTAAACTTTTAAAAAGGTAGATAGGCGTGGTGGCTCATACCTGTAATCACAGTAACTCAGTCGACTGAGATAGGAGGATCACTTGAGCCCAGGAGTTGGAAACCTGCCTGGGCAATATAGAAAGACACTGTCTCTAAAAAAAGAAAAAAAAAAAAAGGAAAGAACAAAATTTAAAAGGGAGAGAGAGAATATATCAGCCCATGTTGCTAAGAAGTCCAAGTTCTGGCCCATGTCTTATGCCTCTTTCCTCTGTACTCATTTCTTCCTTGGGCAGGCTTTCCCTCTCCATGGGTGGCAAAGATGGCCTCCAGGACCTCCAAGGCTCATGGGAGATGAGTGTCTCTCTCAGTCAGTAGTGACAGCAAACCTTTTTAGGAGGGCTCTTATTGGCCAGACCAGGCCTACATCACATGCCCCTGCCATTCTCTAGGATGGGGCAGCCCCATGTGACTCCAGCGAGAGTCCCACC